ATTCAAGTTTCTTTACATTTGCATTTTTTAATAATTATTGATCCAGCATTCAAGATCACAAATACTTGGCTTTGAAATATGCTTAAATTATTTATTTATGATTATTGTTTTGTAAAATAAAAAAACAGGAGTCAAAAAAGCTCTTGCCCTCACATAAAAAAAAAAATCGTAATGAAAAAAAGTTTGATAATAATTCTAACTTTCGAATAATAAGGTTAGAAATCATATGATTACGCCTTGGATTATCGGTTACGTTTTGACTTCCCCCCTTCACATTTCCCCTTCACCCGCTTAAAAAAAAAATCAGGTAAATATATAGGGTCATGGGAAATTGAGAAAACTTTTATGTTTACAGATTATCCCGAGAGAAAAATAATAAAAAATTAAATTTTATTATGAAAATTCATCACTCTCCTTCCCTCCCTTCTCAGGAGTAAGAGGAATGTAATGTAACCACTAAATCAAATTGCTCTAGCCTTAATTTGTTAAATTCAAGACCCTGATTTCAATCGAATATTATAAAATTATTAATGGGAAACTTTCTTCTCAAACCAGTTAGTCACACTTTTCTTAAATTAATCGGGAACTCTGACGCTTATATTTACTGCACATTACTTTTTCTAGCTTAAAAACATGTCACTAAGTGAAATGTACTTAGTAAGATGAATTACGACGGCGTTTACGTTTTTTTTTTTTAAAAAATAATTTACTATTTCAGGAGATAAAAGTAAACTATGTCAGGAGATTAACTGCATAAAATCAACTGTATCAAGTTGATCACAAGGAAGTTAGCCAATGTCGGTCTTGTACATGCACATGATTAATGATTTCCTGTTGCAGTTCATATCAATAGTGCCGAACTCCTTTTTTTATTTATAAAACGTTCATATCATTTTTCTGACAATCACTTCTCCGAAACAACAATATCCTTATATTCCCAACATTTATTGATCGAAATATTTAAAATAAACTATTAATGAATATTTACTATTTAATTTCATTTTATTGAAACTATTTATATTTAAATTTAAAAGCCGTATAAATATCTAAAGACAATTGTCTGAAGCGTAATCATATAATTTGTTTGTTTCTATTTTTAGCTTTGGACGTCTAGCGTCTGTTTTTTTTTAGAATAGTATAGTTTTATATACTTTCAAGTTTAATATAGTACTTACCGATGGGAGCTTTAACAGAATCGATGGGTTCCTTTGGTAAAACATACTTTTAAACAATATAACATGATTTTAAAATAAATATGTTTGCGCCTAATTGGTAGTTTCTGAATATTGAATTTCGATTGATATTTTATGTATTGATAAATTTGCTAATGTATATAAATTCTGAATGTTTTGAAGAGATAACTAGTATTTACTATTTTATCTGCATCAAATATTTTTTTAGCATAACTTTTGTCTTTTCGTTCAATTTTGTTAAGTTTATATTAAACTATCCTTCGAAATAAATCAGAATTCATAAATTTTTATGTTAATTCAAAATAACTTAGGAGTCTCTGCAAATTCAGGCTGTAAGTTTATCATAAAATTACTTTATATCAAAAGGTTTTTGTCCAGTCAATATCTCTGACATGATGACTCAGAATGGGACTGATAGTGCCTAGTGCGGGCACGGGTGCTGGTATAGGTACTGTGTTTTAATAGTGCCATGCCCAATTTTTGCAGAATCTTAATCAATTTTAATCGTGATAATAAATGTAAATGTTATTGGCCAATAGAAAACCTAATCTGATCTAGGTTATTTACTAACCTTTATTAAGATTTTTGAGCAAATTTACAGATGTGTGACAAAAAAAAAAAAAAAAAACCGCCTTATCTGCTGCCATTATCTATTTGCCATTATCTATTGCAATTATCAATTGCAATCATCAATCATCCATTTAATATCTGTTGCAAAATCTTTAGTAATTGTATATCTTGTATATCTTGTAAAACTATTCTTTTTTTTTTAGTTATTTATTTTGAAGATTAAAGTTGTAGAAAACTCGTTTTTTTTTCAGTTAAAAATGCAAGGTGACCAATTATTAAGTCGTGAAACAAATATAGTGGCAAAACAAAAATGCTTTGTATTCTCGTGGTTAACCAATAACCATGGAGTTTTATCATAAAATAAAAAACATTTCCTATTAAGAATTGGTATTAAATATTTGTTTATTACGTTGTTTATTTTTATGAATTTCAGATAGTAAAAAAAAAAGTTAATAAATAAAAAGGCGTGTAATAATAATTATATGGTTTAGTACTCTATTACCGGAATCTATTACCAGAGCATCATATAATCCTCTGGGTACGTACGTACTAAATATAGAGGCTATGAATGTATCAAAAATACTCTATCATGTGATCAGATAATTCATTAATGAATATCATTAACTAATTTGACAAGTGTTCAATTGAAAATTCATTTATAAAAAAAGTTAGAAAGTAGACTTACCCTACGAACAGAGATATTTGAGATTAGATTTCAATCAATAGTAACTTAAGCATTGTATAAATCAACAAATAAATAATTTTTCCCATTCATATAATTGATAGTTAATATTGTACAAAGTCAGATGATTAATCACTAACTATATTCTTATCTATATTCATCTCTTAACTTGGTCGATGTGTAACCTACTTATAGAGTACAATGTGCAGATTTATTTATTTTCAATTATGTAAAACTTTGATTTTTATCGTTATGTATTTGACGTTCAAAATTTCCAAATTTTCCTTTTACATACTAAGTTTTGTAATACTTTTGTAATACTTACACCATTAAAGTTCGTTCTTTATAAAAAAATTATCGAATCTGATTCTACAATAGATCAACAGCTGCTCCTTATCGAATCCATTTGTAATGTCCAAATAAAGCTATAAAGTTATGTATAAGAAAAAGCACCTTTATAAATTCTTATTCTTACTGGTATTTTTTCTGATTCCTGAGGATCTATTTAGCCCCGTAAATACAGGCGCAATGTTTGGAAGTCGTTGCACGGTTTAATTTCAATTTATTAACAAATGCCTAATTAACCTTTCTGCATTCTACTCACGGCAAGATATTGAAACAATAGTTTGAATCTTTCAACCAATCGTGTGTAATCATATCATTTTGAATTCGTGTATTATATTAATAAATAGCCTACTTTTTTCTTCTCCTCATTCACAGTTCCCATTGAAATTTTTTCCGTTTTATTTTGTTCATAACATTAGTTGTACTACCTATTCGGAAATTTTTTGGTGACTTCGCATAAGAAATATAAATAAGAACTGTTAATTTTTCTCACGACGAGTAATTTCATAAATACTTATCTGATTATTTCTAATCTAATCTAACTAAAATGGGGAACATTGAATCTCGTAACGATAATGTTAAAACTGTTCGAAAAAGAGATAAATCCAATTTTTCTCGGATCGGTCATTCTCATGTAAAAACTAATAGTATTTATCCAGATCGTATTGATAATACCTGTAGTTATAACATTAAAACTTTATCAAATTTAACGATTCTTGGGGGTCGTCCTTATTTGGATGATGATGTTTCTATATATCTGGTAATTTATTAATTTAATTTTTTTTTTTTTGACTTTTCTTTTAAATTTACGATAATTTACTGTATTTTTGTTATAAAGTTTCCCGCTGATTGGGAAGAAGCTGATAGAGTTCAAGCTTGTCATTTCGCGCTAAAACATTTGCTTGGCGGTAATTATACTGCTCCACTTTCGAATATTCTTAAACCTGAAAGTAAAATTTTAGTAAGTTTTCAAAAGTTTTATTAGTTGTTACCGTATATAAAATTTGTATAATTTTTTTAATCATTATTATTATTATTTGTAGGACATTGGGTGTGGATCTGGTCATTGGTGGTAAAATTTCAATTTCCTTAATTTCATTTCATTGCAAATATTATTATTATTATTATTATGAATATTATTTAATTAATATTTACTTTAATATCTATTTGATACAATTATTTATACTAGCTTTGAAATTGCTCAAGAATTTCCTGAGGCATGCGTTTATGGAATAGATATAATTTCATCCTTTCCTAGTGATATAAAACCATCTAATTGTTATTTCAAAGAATGTAATATATCTAATGGTTTACCATTCGATAACAATGAATTTGATTATGTTTTTATGAGACATATGTTTTTGGCATTAAAGAATCATCAATGGGTACCACTTTTAAATGAAATAATGAGAGTGCTGAAACCCGGTGGCATTGTTGAATTTGTAGAATTTGATTTAATTCGTAAGTACCAATCAACCAATTAATTAATCAATTTGATGGGTATCTTTGTTTATAGGTGGAAATGAATTTGGAATTCTTAAATAAAATTATGATTTTCAGAGTAAAATTTTTTATTCTTTATAAGCCTGGTAAAATCTTAAGAAGTTCCAAATTCACTTAAAATCCAGTCTCATATAGTACATTATAATAAACTATTTTTATGATTATTAATTAGCAAATTCTATTGGTCCGGTTTACGCTCAATTAATAAAGCAATGTTGTATGTATTCAATTTTTTAGTACATAAAACTTTTACCATTGTTATAAGTTTTATAAATTTATTAACTATTTTCTTAATATTAATTTCAGTTGAAGCATTATACAAAAAAAAGCAAATCGATCTCTTATTTCTTCCGAAATTTGAACAAACAATCAAAGATGTAGGATTTCAAAATGTAAATTGCAATCGTAAAACTGTATCTCTTGGAAAGTAAGTTTTCATAAAAAAAATATATATTTCTATAATATTTGTACAACTTCTTTTTTTCTTCAATCTAACTAATTCATTATATATTAAAAGATGGGATAAAAATCTTGGTAAAATTGGAGAAATATGGACATCAAATATGTTTCAAATGAAAAAATCAATTAAGTCATCAATTACATCAGTTATGAACATTTCAGATAGCGAATTGGATCGCATATTAAACATAATATATTTCGAGGAAGTGGACAAATATTATAGAAATATATATTTTTTTTATGAAAACTTACTTTCCAAGAGATACAGTTTTACGATTGCAATTTACATTTTGAAATCCTACATCTTTGATTGTTTGTTCAAATTTCGGAAGAAATAAGAGATCGATTTGCTTTTTTTTGTATAATGCTTCAACTGAAATTAATATTAAGAAAATAGTTAATAAATTTATAAAACTTATAACAATGGTAAAAGTTTTATGTACTAAAAAATTGAATACATACAACATTGCTTTATTAATTGAGCGTAAACCGGACCAATAGAATTTGCTAATTAATAATCATAAAAATAGTTTATTATAATGTACTATATGAGACTGGATTTTAAGTGAATTTGGAACTTCTTAAGATTTTACCAGGCTTATAAAGAATAAAAAATTTTACTCTGAAAATCATAATTTTATTTAAGAATTCCAAATTCATTTCCACCTATAAACAAAGATACCCATCAAATTGATTAATTAATTGGTTGATTGGTACTTACGAATTAAATCAAATTCTACAAATTCAACAATGCCACCGGGTTTCAGCACTCTCATTATTTCATTTAAAAGTGGTACCCATTGATGATTCTTTAATGCCAAAAACATATGTCTCATAAAAACATAATCAAATTCATTGTTATCGAATGGTAAACCATTAGATATATTACATTCTTTGAAATAACAATTAGATGGTTTTATATCACTAGGAAAGGATGAAATTATATCTATTCCATAAACGCATGCCTCAGGAAATTCTTGAGCAATTTCAAAGCTAGTATAAATAATTGTATCAAATAGATATTAAAGTAAATATTAATTAAATAATATTCATAATAATAATAATAATAATATTTGCAATGAAATGAAATTAAGGAAATTGAAATTTTACCACCAATGACCAGATCCACACCCAATGTCCTACAAATAATAATAATAATGATTAAAAAAATTATACAAATTTTATATACGGTAACAACTAATAAAACTTTTGAAAACTTACTAAAATTTTACTTTCAGGTTTAAGAATATTCGAAAGTGGAGCAGTATAATTACCGCCAAGCAAATGTTTTAGCGCGAAATGACAAGCTTGAACTCTATCAGCTTCTTCCCAATCAGCGGGAAACTTTATAACAAAAATACAGTAAATTATCGTAAATTTAAAAGAAAAGTCAAAAAAAAAAAAATTAAATTAATAAATTACCAGATATATAGAAACATCATCATCCAAATAAGGACGACCCCCAAGAATCGTTAAATTTGATAAAGTTTTAATGTTATAACTACAGGTATTATCAATACGATCTGGATAAATACTATTAGTTTTTACATGAGAATGACCGATCCGAGAAAAATTGGATTTATCTCTTTTTCGAACAGTTTTAACATTATCGTTACGAGATTCAATGTTCCCCATTTTAGTTAGATTAGATTAGAAATAATCAGATAAGTATTTATGAAATTACTCGTCGTGAGAAAAATTAACAGTTCTTATTTATATTTCTTATGCGAAGTCACCAAAAAATTTCCGAATAGGTAGTACAACTAATGTTATGAACAAAATAAAACGGAAAAAATTTCAATGGGAACTGTGAATGAGGAGAAGAAAAAAGTAGGCTATTTATTAATATAATACACGAATTCAAAATGATATGATTACACACGATTGGTTGAAAGATTCAAACTATTGTTTCAATATCTTGCCGTGAGTAGAATGCAGAAAGGTTAATTAGGCATTTGTTAATAAATTGAAATTAAACCGTGCAACGACTTCCAAACATTGCGCCTGTATTTACGGGGCTAAATAGATCCTCAGGAATCAGAAAAAATACCAGTAAGAATAAGAATTTATAAAGGTGCTTTTTCTTATACATAACTTTATAGCTTTATTTGGACATTACAAATGGATTCGATAAGGAGCAGCTGTTGATCTATTGTAGAATCAGATTCGATAATTTTTTTATAAAGAACGAACTTTAATGGTGTAAGTATTACAAAAGTATTACAAAACTTAGTATGTAAAAGGAAAATTTGGAAATTTTGAACGTCAAATACATAACGATAAAAATCAAAGTTTTACATAATTGAAAATAAATAAATCTGCACATTGTACTCTATAAGTAGGTTACACATCGACCAAGTTAAGAGATGAATATAGATAAGAATATAGTTAGTGATTAATCATCTGACTTTGTACAATATTAACTATCAATTATATGAATGGGAAAAATTATTTATTTGTTGATTTATACAATGCTTAAGTTACTATTGATTGAAATCTAATCTCAAATATCTCTGTTCGTAGGGTAAGTCTACTTTCTAACTTTTTTTATAAATGAATTTTCAATTGAACACTTGTCAAATTAGTTAATGATATTCATTAATGAATTATCTGATCACATGATAGAGTATTTTTGATACATTCATAGCCTCTATATTTAGTACGTACGTACCCAGAGGATTATATGATGCTCTGGTAATAGATTCCGGTAATAGAGTACTAAACCATATAATTATTATTACACGCCTTTTTATTTATTAACTTTTTTTTTTACTATCTGAAATTCATAAAAATAAACAACGTAATAAACAAATATTTAATACCAATTCTTAATAGGAAATGTTTTTTATTTTATGATAAAACTCCATGGTTATTGGTTAACCACGAGAATACAAAGCATTTTTGTTTTGCCACTATATTTGTTTCACGACTTAATAATTGGTCACCTTGCATTTTTAACTGAAAAAAAAACGAGTTTTCTACAACTTTAATCTTCAAAATAAATAACTAAAAAAAAAAGAATAGTTTTACAAGATATACAAGATATACAATTACTAAAGATTTTGCAACAGATATTAAATGGATGATTGATGATTGCAATTGATAATTGCAATAGATAATGGCAAATAGATAATGGCAGCAGATAAGGCGGTTTTTTTTTTTTTTTTTTGTCACACATCTGTAAATTTGCTCAAAAATCTTAATAAAGGTTAGTAAATAACCTAGATCAGATTAGGTTTTCTATTGGCCAATAACATTTACATTTATTATCACGATTAAAATTGATTAAGATTCTGCAAAAATTGGGCATGGCACTATTAAAACACAGTACCTATACCAGCACCCGTGCCCGCACTAGGCACTATCAGTCCCATTCTGAGTCATCATGTCAGAGATATTGACTGGACAAAAACCTTTTGATATAAAGTAATTTTATGATAAACTTACAGCCTGAATTTGCAGAGACTCCTAAGTTATTTTGAATTAACATAAAAATTTATGAATTCTGATTTATTTCGAAGGATAGTTTAATATAAACTTAACAAAATTGAACGAAAAGACAAAAGTTATGCTAAAAAAATATTTGATGCAGATAAAATAGTAAATACTAGTTATCTCTTCAAAACATTCAGAATTTATATACATTAGCAAATTTATCAATACATAAAATATCAATCGAAATTCAATATTCAGAAACTACCAATTAGGCGCAAACATATTTATTTTAAAATCATGTTATATTGTTTAAAAGTATGTTTTACCAAAGGAACCCATCGATTCTGTTAAAGCTCCCATCGGTAAGTACTATATTAAACTTGAAAGTATATAAAACTATACTATTCTAAAAAAAAACAGACGCTAGACGTCCAAAGCTAAAAATAGAAACAAACAAATTATATGATTACGCTTCAGACAATTGTCTTTAGATATTTATACGGCTTTTAAATTTAAATATAAATAGTTTCAATAAAATGAAATTAAATAGTAAATATTCATTAATAGTTTATTTTAAATATTTCGATCAATAAATGTTGGGAATATAAGGATATTGTTGTTTCGGAGAAGTGATTGTCAGAAAAATGATATGAACGTTTTATAAATAAAAAAAGGAGTTCGGCACTATTGATATGAACTGCAACAGGAAATCATTAATCATGTGCATGTACAAGACCGACATTGGCTAACTTCCTTGTGATCAACTTGATACAGTTGATTTTATGCAGTTAATCTCCTGACATAGTTTACTTTTATCTCCTGAAATAGTAAATTATTTTTTAAAAAAAAAAAACGTAAACGCCGTCGTAATTCATCTTACTAAGTACATTTCACTTAGTGACATGTTTTTAAGCTAGAAAAAGTAATGTGCAGTAAATATAAGCGTCAGAGTTCCCGATTAATTTAAGAAAAGTGTGACTAACTGGTTTGAGAAGAAAGTTTCCCATTAATAATTTTATAATATTCGATTGAAATCAGGGTCTTGAATTTAACAAATTAAGGCTAGAGCAATTTGATTTAGTGGTTACATTACATTCCTCTTACTCCTGAGAAGGGAGGGAAGGAGAGTGATGAATTTTCATAATAAAATTTAATTTTTTATTATTTTTCTCTCGGGATAATCTGTAAACATAAAAGTTTTCTCAATTTCCCATGACCCTATATATTTACCTGATTTTTTTTTTAAGCGGGTGAAGGGGAAATGTGAAGGGGGGAAGTCAAAACGTAACCGATAATCCAAGGCGTAATCATATGATTTCTAACCTTATTATTCGAAAGTTAGAATTATTATCAAACTTTTTTTCATTACGATTTTTTTTTTTATGTGAGGGCAAGAGCTTTTTTGACTCCTGTTTTTTTATTTTACAAAACAATAATCATAAATAAATAATTTAAGCATATTTCAAAGCCAAGTATTTGTGATCTTGAATGCTGGATCAATAATTATTAAAAAATGCAAATGTAAAGAAACTTGAATTGTACGAATTACTTTAACAAGCCATGGTTTCGAAAAAAAAATTCATTACACTAATCAATACGTTTTTTCTAATGCCCGTTACACTTTTCATACCTAATATAAAATTTAAAGTTTACAGTTCATTTCTAAATAGGCTTGACTATGAATAAATTTACAAACGATCTGCTATCATAAACTATTTTAGCGTAAATAAAATGTATATACAGTACATGAAACCTCTAATTAATTCCAAGTTAGTCAATTTTTTATAGAATTTTTTTTTAATCTCATTAAGTACTGTACGTTTTGATTGATGGTGCGTCATATAGAGTTCAGTTTTATTTTATTATTTGGAATGTGTCCCAGGTTTGTTTGGGTAGATTTCCTGAACTACAAATCAGATTTCAGGATCATATGTAACGTGAAACGATCAAAACAAACGTCCGTTTCATCAAAAAATCTTGATACGAAATACCTTTAATGTACTAAAAATTTTTTTTTCCTTGAACGATTTTATTATAGTATATAATTCACTAACATTTGATTCCAATATAAACACTAACCCTAATATAAATGAAGTTTTAGTGAATTTTCATGATTGCAAATCTGCACCAC